ATGATATCTTCACCATAAGAATGAAACAAGTTGCTGCAAAATAAATCAAAGTTAGAAAATGAAAAACTATTAACAAGATGAATGGAAATATCAAACCAGGGTGGATGTTTAATGGGTGTTGGTTGCTTAGTGATGGAAAACTCCATTGGTTGCTGAATTCCCTTCAATATATGCAATGTACTTGAAACCTGAATGATCTCAACTCTTGGGACTTCTATTGGCACATTCTTTTGAATTTCAAGAGGTACATCCTTTGAAATGTCAAAGGACATGTCTTGTGGATCACCAAAAGTCACGTCTATTGATTCTTCAAAAGACATGTTTCTTGAATCTTTAACTTGAAGTGACATGTCTCTTGCATTATCCTGCAAAACAAAAGAAAGAATTTGAGGGAAAGAGTTGTTAGGTGAGTCTTGCTTTCCATTCTCCTCTTCTCTACACTCATCAATTCCAAATTTTGTCATATCAATCTGATTTTCTACTTGTTCAACTTGTTGCTCTTCTAATACTTCTCTTTCAACTTTCTTCATGGCTTTAGTTTTCTCTCATTCCTCTATACGTGACTTAAGGGTCACTTGGCATTCATGGACTTGACTTGGAAGCATAGGCGCCAATATGATTTTCTTTCCTTGATGTTGGAAGGAATACTTATTGGAAAATCCATCATTAGTAGCCTTCTTGTCAAATTGCCATGGTCGACCCAACATTAAATGAATTGTATTCATATGCACTACATCACAAATGACCTCGTCTTGGTATTTCCCGATTGAGAATGGAATAATAACTTGTTCAGTGACCTTCAACTCCCCTCCATCGTTTAGCCATTGCAAATTGTAAGGGCTCGGATGTTTGGTAGTCTTCAAGCCAAGTTTCTCAACCATGTAAGTGCTTGCAATATTTGTGCAACTTCCACTATCAATGATCATCACACAAACTTTATCTCCCACGTGACATTTGGTATGGAAGATGTTCTCTCTTTGTTCATCCTCTTGACTTTGAATGTTCAAAGTCTTTTTGACTACAAAGATGTTGGATGGAAGAGACATGTTAGCAAATAAGGAAAAACAAAATGTGTGTAGGACCTTACCAGAATATACTCTTACAAAGCCTCATGAGTCACTCCAAGGAAACTTGAATGTCACTCAATCCACTCGTGTTTGCACTCTAGGACTTTAATGGCTTTTACTTGTCCTTTTCTGATCTCACACTCGCTCCAACCTTTTTCCTCTCAATTCTCTTGTCCCAAGTTCTAGAGAACTTTACTCAAAACCATATCAAGTAAATTTTTACTTGTTTGACGTCGGCTGCAAAAGGGTTAGTAGGAATGGAAAACAAAATATAATGAAAGGGTGGCTTAGAAATAGAAAGAATAGAACAAAAGGGTTACTTACACAAGTCACTTCACAACCTTCTATCACCACAATCAATTTAAAAGGCTTACTTGAATTGGCTTGGTGATGAGAATTGTTGATGAGTGCTTCAACTTTCTTTCTTTCTTTTCATTGCTTTTCTTCCTTTTTGAATGCTGGAATTTTTTTTTCTTTTGGAGTGCTTTGTTTTTCATTGCTGGATTTTTCTTGATTTTTTTCACTTTGCACTTCACTTGCACTTCTTTTTTTGTATTTTTCTTTTTGTTGTTGTTGCACGTTGCTTTCTTCTACCAAAGCTCTGATTTCCGTTTGATGTAAGGCTTCTGATGCCACTTGATGTAAGGCATTTGTACCTTAACAAATTGATTGTGGATCTAGGAAGGGAGCAAACAACCTGCACAAGTGAATGGCTCAAAAGAGATGGTTAAGGTGGTAAACGTATGGATGAAATAGGTGGGTTGTTTAAAATGAGAGATGGAAGCGGAAGATGGTTGATAAGGCTATGGTTATGGCTTATGAAACAAAGGGGTGGTAGTGAGGATAGTATCTTGAAGAAGTCTCAAAGAAGAACCAATGCTATAGAGAGCAAAGGCCCAGACTTTATATTGCTTCTTCAAGGGGTGGTATTAAGTACTTTGACCCACTAATTATATGAACTAGGAACCAGAAGTATCAAGGTGAAAAGAAAGGGGTTGACGCCACAAGTATAAAATACTTGAGAAGTCGATAAAAGTCACCAGGACTTAAGGAAGAGAATAATCTCACTTATATTAATCAAAAGGTCTGCTTACAAATGAAATATAATGACCTATTTATAGTTTTTGAATGGACTTGGCCGAATAGGTACATGTTGGTTCGGCCAGCCCTTGTACCTTCCTAAAATGACATGATTTTTAATGAAAAAACAAGACTTTAATGAAAATACATGCTCTTGGCTGAATGGTTATGTGTTAGTTTGGCCCTAAGGATGATTTGAATGCATTTGGAAGTTATTTGGGCACCAAAATGAAGAGGAAAGAGTCTTTCACCGAATAGGAATCATCCCTTGGTGTTTTGGCGCCAATTTGATGTCACATGGAATGCACATGCTTGAATGATGCACATGGCAGCCTACATGAATGCACATGGGTCTTTTTGCTATGCTTTGATGAGGTTGCAACCATAGGATGATGTCTTGAAGTCCATTGAATGAAGATAGGCAACAACTAGGCGTGAATTAGCTTCCAACGTGTATCTAGATGACATGGCATCCATTGGGCAGCCTAGAGATGAACTAGCTTCAAGGTAAGCTAGATGAGTGTCTTGGTAGCTAACTAGGTGAGTTATATCTTGATGAACTCAAGCTAGTTAGCTTTGGTCTTCTCAGCTCCTCAGCTACTTCCAGCTACCTCTAGTCCACTTTTCAGTAATTTGGTCCAAAGTTCTCCTCCAGCTAAGTTCAGCTACATGCTAGCCCCTCCAGCTAAGTTGAAGCTCCTTATGTGATGAAATGAGTTGCCATAATGTTCATGAGCTAGTGTGAGCTGCTATGCTTGTCCTTTTAGCTAACCAAGCTACCATAATATGCCTTGCTTTGTGTTTCACCTATAGGAATCACCAAACAAATAAAATAAGCAATGTGTGAGCTTATTTAAGGTAAAATGCATGCTGCCGTGAGGTGTTTGAGTGATATAAGCTATGAATGCATGTCATGAGCTAAGTACATAATGATATAACATATGTAAGCTAATGTGTAAGACCTAGGAGCTAAAATGAATGCATATGAGCTAACAAATGAATGATTAAGCATGCTGCCATTTCATGAATGTAATGAATCATGCTTAAATAGATGTAAGACTAATCTAACATACTTATAACATTGTGAATCAATCATAAAGATCTGGGTATATGTTGTATGCATGAATATCATATAACATGCTATTCATAAATGATAAATGGAAACATGTAATAATAATATCCTAAGAAATGATATGTAATCAAAGCATATATTTGAATGATATGAAAGACATGATCAACTAAGCATAGGATGGAAATAATAATATGATAATTTATACTAACATGTGAATACATGCTTATGATAGAATAAAATGTATAAATGACATAATATAAGATAGGGTAAGAAAAAACTCCCTTAGAATCAGCAATGAAAAACATCCATGGTGTGATTAAGTCATGGAGAAAATTGGAGTTGGTTTGGATCGTATCATAAATCATGATAACTACCATCATGCATGTGTAACCATATTCCAGCTCTGTAGATTTTCCATTACTAATCTGTATGGTATAGGCTATTCACTTGAACACCGATGCTTGTAATGTAAAATAAAACTCATGAAATCAAAATGACTTCCATACTTTTGACAGATGCCAGTAATGTAAAATGATTTATTGGGATCAAATTGACTTTCATATTTTCTGAGCTTGAATTGATTTTGTTGTTCCACTCACTAGCTGTTAGTTCATTTTTTTCCCTTTGTTTGTTGTTTCATTTTTAACATTTACTTTTTGGTTCAAAATTCATGGTCAGTTTCCAGACTCAAATTACTTGTTCATGGGAGATTATGTTGATCGTGGTTAATATTCGGTTGAAACTGTAACAGTAAGTATTAAGTTGTCCAGCTTTTTTTAATCTGTTTCACCTGGAATAATTGATTCTTTTACCCATTTTTTTCAGCTAGTGTTGATCTATATTAAGAACCTACTTTCTCTTTGCTGATTTAAGTTTGTAGTGATTTTGAAAGAGATATGACGGCTACATGATTTTCTCTAAGCTTACATTAATTGCAGTTCTTTCTATCAATAATGCTCTTTGTATGATAAATTTAAATAGGAGGCGCATATATTTTTATTTTTATTCATCTTAGGTTGTGGATATTAGCATTATAAAGATCTCCACATGCATAGTGTTTTTTTAGCTGAAAACATCTCAAACAAGTTTGTTTAAGCTTTTTGTTGTAATATGTTCACCATCGATACTCAATCTTTGTTTGTATGAAATAATATGATATTCAAAACATGAAATAAGTATTTAACTAAAAGAAAAAAATTGACTAAAATGAACTAATAAGTACGCAAAATTCTAGGACTTAACTATATTTATGATATCAAATCAGCAGCATAATTCAATTTCATAGAGTTAAACATTACCATACATGCTGTTTTGTCAAACTTGTGTGGCACGATAGCATTTTATCTGAGGTCAATATTATGCAGATTCATCAACAATGTATGGGAGTCAAACAAGAAAATAATGAAACTGTAATCTATAAGTTGATTTTTTTTTTCTGTTAACATAATTATTCTAGCCAACTTAAGGTGGAGTCTTAAATATACTTGTATAACTGTGGTGATTGTTCATTCTATGAATTATTTTGTTCAGACCCTTAATTCATTCCAGTTATTTGGGGAGTGCTGAGGTTGCAACTTATAATTTGTTTGTGATTGACTTTTTTTTTCAGCTCTTGGTAGCCATCAAAGTGCGTTACCCCCAACGGATTACAATTCTGAGGGGAAATCATGAGAGTCGCCAGGTTTGTTATGTTTCTAAGTGATTTACACACACATATCTTGTTCGTAAAAAATTTATTGTAATTCTCTTTTTCCTTTGCAAGTTATTTATCTACTTGATGGTTTTATATTTAAAATGCAGATTACTCAAGTGTATGGCTGTTATGATGAATGTCTAAGGAAGTGAGTATCTTATAATCTCTCTCTCTCTCTCTCTCTCTCTCTATATATATATATATATATATGGGTATGGGTGTGTGAATCGTGATTTCTAAAGGTCATTAGGCTTAAAGGCTTAATTTGTCTATTTGGACTACTTGGGAGGTAACCCGGTTATATTTATTGGTCAATGTGCACAGCTGTGATGCATGAACCTAACATGATAAATAGAAAACAAACAGCGTACTATGATAGGGATATGCTGGTGTAAGAAAATTTTTTATTAAGTTATTTCGATCTCGATGTACATATATGCTTGCTTTGCAATGAAGTTGCCTAACATTAAAGGGTTCTTAAGTATTTTGTGGTAGAAGGCAGGATTCACTAGACATATTATTCTGGATTTGAAAATATAACGTTGTTTATATTCGCAGAAAACAATTCATAGTTTTCTAACATTATGATGGTCCTATTTTAATTCTTCTTTTATTGAATTATCTGTCCTTATTTCAAGGTACGTTTTCTATTTTGATTGCAGATATGGCACTGCAAATATTTGGAAGACTTTCACTGATCTATTTGATTATTTTCCATTAACAGCATTGGTTAGTATGTTATTTATTGTTTGATGTTTGCTTATGATCTTTTGTGAACTTTTAGCTTGAAATTAGAACCCTAACTTGGGTTTGCAAATGTACTCTTTTTGTTATGTTTGCATTTGGCTTTTGTTAATGATTAATTCTAAGCGGCAGACTTTTGGGGTTTTTGAAGGTCGAATCTGAAATTTTCTGTCTCCATGGTGGGTTATCTCCGGCAATTGAAACCCTGGATAACATACGTAACTTTGACCGCGTTCAAGAAGTCCCACATGAAGGTCCCAATGATCGATGTGGTTGGGGCATTTCTCCAAGGGGTGCTGGATATACTTTTGGCCAAGTATTATTCATTTCTTTAGCTTTTTTTTTGTGGTTTTCAAGGATATATTTTTGTCATAATTTGATATACCATATTAACTTTTACGATACTCCAGGACATATCCGAGCAATTTAACCGTAAAAACAATTTGAAGCTTATTGCCAGGGCACATCAGCTAGTCATGGAAGGATTCAATTGGGGTCATGTATGTACTTACTCTTTTAGTGCTGATATCAGATTCGTGTAATTCATATCATTAACTCCTTCGAAAATTTTTAATTTTTGTTTCCTTTTCACCTGTAGAATAATGTCCGTTTGAGTGTCGAGGATCTGTAGAAGGATGTTGAGAACATTTTCTTAATAATTGATCCATAAGATTTTACTCATTCCCGTAGTGCATTATGATCATGTCTATAAAGTTACAGTTTTAATTAACGATTATGCATATTATTTTATACATAGTTCAATAAAAATTCATCCTGCTTGATAAAAATTCAATTTCAGAACATCCTACATGGTGTGTGTGTGTGTATATATATATATATATATATATATATATATATATATATATATATATGAACCTGTCAGCCTTCACATCCTGCTTCTGACAGACAGTTCATGCTGTATTTGGTCCCTCAATACTCTCCTAAGCAATTTGTTTGAAGCAGTCCTGGGAAACTCCGGGACTATCTTCACACTGTTCACCTGTTATTGATAAAATGTCAATATGCTTGTATTTTTTTCACGCAAGCGAAAATGACTTTAATTTTGACTTTTGAATCCGAGCATTCCGATCGAGTTATATGTTGATGCTTAGTTTCCGAAACTACAAATGAATGAAAGATGTAAAAACATTGAGGAACCGAACCTTGAACAAGGGTTGAGGTCAGTTTGAATGGCTTTCGAGAACACCGTCTTCAGCTTCCCCGGTTGTTCATCGAACCCTTTCTTTAGAACCACAAAAATCACCAACAGTTCTGGACCACCATCGGGTGGTGCTACACTTACTGCAGCAGTCTCCGAGATGCTTTCATCCGTGCAGTCACAAACACGTTCGATTTCAACAGAGCTTGTCTGCAAATAAGGGAAGTTCAAGCTTTCAGGACATTAATGAACTGAAATTTGACAGAACAATTTAGATGATATAGTTTGCTTAAATTACAAGACAACAATAGGAGGGAGGAAGGGTGGAATACCTTAATACCACCAAGATTCATTGTGTCATCAGCCCTTCCTTGGACAATAAGATAACCTCCGACCGTTCTCTTGAGGATATCCCCATGTCTCCTAAGGCGCTGTAAAGAGCATGGTTCGAATCATAAGATAGCCTGTCGAAGTATTCATCAAGGGGTGATTACAAAGCGATCGTTGCTTGAACATTGTTCTAAGCAATCTTTCTTTTTGTAATCCCCGCTTCATCGAGCATTCGGCAGAACTATTAACCACAGAATCCAAAAACCATACCATTCCCTTAAGTGTCGGCATTCCCTTGAAGTAAATGTCCTCGTGATCCGCGTTAAGCAATCTATCAGTTGCTCCCATGTAGTGAGGGAATAAACCAACTTCACCAACACAAGCTTTATCATCCGGCTGTCACAAAGGCCAATCATATGTGTTATATATGTAATCTGGGGAATTATCAAGTTTTATTAGAAATTGTTGCAAAGGAAACCGCACAAACTTTTGGATTAAGTTCTTACATGGGGAACTCCATGCTCATCCAATATGACTACACCAGTTGTCATCGATGCGGTGCTAAATGCTCCAAAAGCTTGTGGCTGCAGCGGACTCCCCATGATGTAACATGATGCTAGCTCGGTTCCTCCGCAACATTCAAGAACAGGCTTGTAGTAAGATTTAGATGAAAGCCAAAGGTCATCATCACATTAGAGGCTTCTCCAGTGCTAGCAAAAGATCTGCAGCCGTAGAAAACCGATTAGGAGATTTTTAACCGATGCAAAAGTTTGGTTTTTGGATAAGGGAAAGAACGTCTACTTTATCTTTGTCCAGTCTAAGCCTTCCATACACTTTGTATTCTTCCAAGTTTTCACTAAACTTGGAACTGTGCCCAAAACAGTTACTCCTGCATCCTGAACAAATTTCCCGAAACCACGGCCCAAAGGAGATCCATGATAGAGAGCAAGTGTTGCACCAGTTAGAAAGCACGAGAAGAGTAAAGTGGGTCCCATCGCCCATCCTAGATTTGTAGGCCAGCAGTAAATATCTCCAACTCCGACATTAATGTGAACTAGTGCTTCAGAAGAACAGCGAATAGGCGAGAGTTGTGTCCACGGAATAGCTTTAGGTTCCCCTGGTAAGTCCAATATAGCATACTTGAAAATTATCCAAACCGGAAAAGAAAATGTATAGAGTGTAAATCATAAATCAATTGACATTTTCCACCTGTGGTTCCGGACGAGAATAGTATGTTAATTGCAGAATCTATTGGTAGATAAGCTGGAGTGAACTGATTTGGTCTACAACAGAGGTAAAGATGATATTATGCAGTTATGTACTAGTACACAAATCAACTAAACTGCTCTCAATCTGTAATTGTAGACATTACATTACCTCGGATGCTGATTGTCATGGGCAAGAAAATCTTTCCATGATATGTCTTTCTCTCTTAATTGAATTCTGATGTCGTTTCCAAACACGGGGAGCACAATAGCTTTATCTGGAGAAGCCTCTATGACTCGACTGCATAGTTAAGAAAAACAGCAGTGAAAACCAAGAGTAGTAGATCAGTTGCCTGTGCAGCAGAGGGTAGTTTCTTTTACCTGTACAAAGGAAACTTTCGACCTCCTCTTGGTATAAAATCCTGAACAGATAGCAATGACAAATAGGGGATTAGAATAAGAACCGATAAGCAGAGATTTCCCTACAGAAGTGGAAGAACACCTGGGTGAAGATAGCCTTTGCCTTCGAGACCCGCAAACGCGTTGCGATTTCCTTGGCAGCAAAACTATCAGCTATAGAAACAACAACGAATCCAGCTAAAACTATTGCCAGATATATAATAACTGCATTTACTGTCATTGGCATATCAATGGCAATTGCATCACCCTCTCTGAAACTTTTCTGCAGTGCATTTGCCACCAACCTGTAAATTAAAAATCAGCTAAAGAAATAAGAGCTGCAATGTTCGATTATATCTAAATGACAAAACTCGAAACAAAATGCAGGTCAAGAAAATGAAAGCATACATGACTTGGTCTCGAAGCTGTTTAAGCGTCATACGGCTCACATCGGAATCATCATCGCCTTCGTGTCTCCATACAATCGCACAACTGTCATCCTCTTTTCTCGGATGACTCGAGGGTAATAAGCAACATTCTGCTATATTCAAAACAGAACCGGGAAGCCAAGTTCCCCCGGGTCTTGTTTTGTCAGTGGTATCCAGGATGCACTTGGGCGGTTCACGAAATGTAACTGCAATCTCTTTTAGTATGATTGACCAGTAAACCTAACCATTGTTCAACCAGGAAAAAGAAGTGGTTAATTTGTTTGTGTTTCTCCATGAGGAACAAGGAGAAGAACAGCAAGAGATCTTGTAGCTTACCTCAGGATGATGGACAGTGAAATCACGAAAGAGATTAAAACTAGCAATGGGATCCTCGTATGAAGCCCCCAAAAGCTTTGAACCGTGAGTCTCCATTATTTGTCCCATGTTTGTAAGCTTAGAGTCATGTCTGGTGGTGAAAAAAAGGCTTAGCTAAATACGAGTAGAAAGAAGGGAAAGGAAAAGAGAGTACAGAGAAGGGAAGCAGTAAAGAGGAGGGCCATGAATGGAAGCATCCCAATGAGCGTAGACGGAGTAATAGATGAGCTGGTGGAGTGCATGTGGGTGGTTCGGCTTTAGCACTCTGTTACTCACAACCTCTCTCCACACCTCTCTTGCCCACAATTGGCCTCCTCCTGCTTCTGCCTTTGCTTTGGAAGCTGCTTGTTTCATGAGTTGATGGATGTGTTGGGCCTCCTCGATGCTTAATACTCCGCCGCTTGCCCGGAGGAGATCGTCAATGCTCAGTTCGTTGATGGTGCTTGGTGTCATGACTGTCCGGTGTCTTTGTCTTCCTCCTTCTCCTCCTCCTCCTCCTTTGCCTTTAGACTTAAGAAGACTGATTGTTCTCTCCGTCTGTATTTCGCTTTCGTCTTACTCTTACTACAAATTAAGACCAATAAAAGGTTAGGTAAGAAAGCGATGTGAAGTAGGTAGAGTTAACGACTGGAAGTAAGTTGAGCCACGTGATGTGTCCATTTTCTTACATTTTTGCACCAGCATGAGGGTTAAATGGTTTAACCGTCCATCATTAGTTACCGCCATTGATAGTATAAAAAACAACTGTAAGGTGTCGAACCCATGTCACCGGATTCAAAGTCCGGGATGCTAACCACCACACCATGGAACCAAGGACATGCAACAAATTTTAGTTTTCACTAAATAACTAATTTCATACTATGCTCATTTGACAAAACTTTAGGCCAAAGTTGATGGTCTAAATGTTGTATGGCAAAGACAATTTTCACATATATTGCCGTCGAAAGTGGCATCTCAGTGGATCTTGATACGATCAAGAATGGTGTAGTTATATGTTTAGAAAAAAAATTTAGTCTACTACATACTTTATAGGTTAATTGAAAGGTGTCTCCTTTTGACAGATCGGGAGTTCTTCGAGAAGTGACTGAGTTTGAAACAGGTTGCTGCAGCATAAGTCAGTTGAAGTTGTAATTGGTGACCTCCTCAACCAGATCGATATCTTTCATATGGAAATCTGTTTGGGTACAGGAGGATAAGGTCATGCATACGGTGCTTAATAAGTTGAGTTGCTCGAACTCGGCTCGGTTAAAATTCGACTCAGGTTGACTCGATTCAAATTTTAACTCGACTCGATAAGTTCGCAAGCAGTTCGCTAATTTTTTTTATAATTTTTAATAGTTATTTTAAAATTTTATTTCATTCAAAAATTACTAAATTACTAATAAATAATAAAAACATGATAAATGACTAAATTTATAATATTATTAGATTTTACCTATAATAAAAAAATAAGATAAAAATTTCAGTGAGTTTAACTAGCAACGAGCTGAGCAATGGGTTTAACGAGCAACGTGCTTAATGAGCATGAGTCGAGCAACAAGTTTTTTTAACGAGCACGAATCAAGCAAAAATTTAACGAGATTAAAAGCAAGAAGTAGAGTCAAACAACAATTTTTTAACGAGCACGAGTCGATCACTATCAATTCGCGATCGACTCGCTCGATAAGCACCCCT